TACCCTCTTAGCATCCTTGCACGCTCAGTCGCTCCTGGCCGTCACAGGAAGGAGCACATGGATGCCGCTAAGAGGGTGTTGCGCTACTTGTGCAGTACGTCGGGCATGGGGCTCGTGCATGGAGGACGGGCTAGAGTTGTCCTCAGTGGTCACGCAGACGCTTCTTGGGCTGACGACTTGGCTACGCAGCGGTCGTCACAGGGTTACACCTTCAGCCTTGGCTCTGGTTCTGTTTCTTGGCGGTCTACCCGCTCTTCTTCTGTTCTCAGCTCCAGCTGTGAGGCTGAGATCTACGCAGAGGCCATGGCTGCACAGGAGTTACGTTGGCTCACCTACCTGCTGACCGACCTGGGAGAGCTGCCTCGTTCTCCTCCAGTGCTGTACGTCGACAACAAGGCCATGATTGCCTTGTGTCAGGAGCACAGACTGGAGCACAGAACGAAGCACATTGCTCTGCGCTACTTCCTTGCTCGAGAGTTGCAGCAGCGTGGTCAGCTTCGTCTTGCTTATGTGGCCACTCAGGCCAACACTGCTGATGTCTTCACCAAGGCACTCAAGCCTTGTGATCATCAGCGTTTCTGTACTGTTCTAGGCCTTGTGCCTACTGTGCCTCACTTGCTTACTTCTTGACTCTGCTTGTACTGTGATCTTTATACATATACCTGCATGCTTACACTTGCTAGGTTGTGATCAATGTATTGCTTGTTCTCCTTATATAACTCTGCATGTGAACTGGCCTTGTGGCCATTTGCTTGTGCTCGGAATGCGTGGTGACTTCGTGATCCACCCTGAGCTTGCTTTGCCTCTCTTGACCGGTCTTGTGACCTCTTGTTCTCCCCCACTTTGCCTATTGGGGTGTGTCAAACATATATGCTATAGTCTGTATAGGCTGTAGTGGGGTAGTTCATATAGGGTACAACATTTCTAGGTTTCCTACTTGTACCCAAACTGCTTGCTAGTCAATCATTCCTTCATTCTTATTCTGACAATCTCCACTCCCCAAGTGGCCAATCGAGATGCACCGCTCCCTACGCAAAACCTAGGAGCTCTTCAAAAATTCAGTTGGCTTGGACGTGCACCAATCATCTTAACATGTGAGTTGTTCACAACAAATCATATTGGTCGTTGATGCTTTTTTATGCGCTTCAGTTTAACACTGATGCTACAGTGGTTGACATGCTAAACCAGGCGCGCTTCGGGTTGACACGTATAAACGCCTGGTGTCAAAACTACGAAGAAGATCTTACACCCTGTTTCGAAAAAATATGTGCCAGCTACCCTGCTATTATTTAGTCACAACTTTACTCAAATAGTGATTTTATAGAAATTCATTCACGCGAAATTCACCATGTTCCAAGTCTCATCCTGAGAAGCTCAAAAAAAAAAAAAAAAAAAAAAACTCCATGTGGCAATCACTGAACAATTTGCCGCAAGTCTGCTCCTAAACGAACCCTTTCTTGCCTTTCCGACCCACAAATGTTCGTTCATTCGTTCTTTTTTTTTTGTTTCCTTTTTATCAATACATTGTACAGTGTATAAATTTACTGTCATAAATGACCAAGTGTTTTTACAGGTGGGGAGGTTGCGACTTGGGGAGGCATCAATCCTAAATATCAAATGGGTTCATGTGCTTAGGGATGATCCCTCTCGAAAATGTATCATCGTTCCCCTAGAAGTTTTATGTTTTCTGCTCTGTCCGAAGTAACCTGGTGAAAATGTTACGTTTTGTCTGCGGTGAGTTGTCACCGACATCGTCAGTGTCTGCGTAACTGACCAGACACTGAGTCTCGTGCCCGCCGCCGAACTCGAGGGCGACATAGTGCGTGTCAACCAAGTGAGCGAGGAAGCGGTCGACCTCGCGCCAGAGCTGGTCGCTCTACACCGTCAGGCCAAACCCCAACTTGTTGCACGCTAATGCGACGTCCAGCCGAGTCATGGTGGTGGCGAACCGCAGCGATTTGAACGTCAGCTAGATTTTTACAATCCGAAGCAGGCCTTAGTCAGGGATCGGCTCAAGGTTGTTCACGAATAGTATTGCAGCGAAAGTGTTGACATCAGATCAGAGTGAATCCAAAATGACTGAGATAATAATAACAATGCATACATCGAGTTATATAGGTAATACAAAGGAAAACGAAACGTCCTAGCCAGCCATGTACTGTAAGGGGTACATTCCCTTATTATAGCAAATTCAAGCCGTGCTGCGCGGGAACCCGTTTTAAACCTGTTCCCACTCTTTTCACTTTGAATGTTTCTGCTTGCATCGGTCTTGATCTGATGGTTGCTAGCATCGCTTGAACTCTTCTGACTCATCGACTTCGTACTCGGAAGAGTATGCTCCTTGTGGCGTACAGGATTGCCTTCTCATAAAGTCTCATATCTCAACACTCCCCTTCATTCCTCATTCCTGGACGTGTTGAGGGCTGACTCGCTTGATCACTCCGGTGAGGTTGGAGCAGTGCTGGTACTGTTGAAGTGGCAGTCGCTTGGTGAGAAGTCAGCTGCCATGTCGGTGGTCGGTCAGTACGTTAAGTCAACCTTGCCCTGGTCAATTTCGTCCTTGACGAAAAGGTATTGAAGTGCGATGTGCTTCGTTCGGTTGACGAAGCCCAGCTTGTTTGCGATCCTGATTGCGCTCTGGTTGGCGAAAGGTGGGCGAAGTTGGAATTTTCGCTTCCTGCAGTAGCTCTTGCAGGGAGAGCCCTTCGCGAACTGCAGCAGTGGCGGCAATGTACTCTGCTTCGGCTGATGACAGGGCAACCAACTCTTATTTTTGGGAATTCCAGGAGATGGGGCCCGTTGGTTCAACGCAAAAAACGAAGCCGGTTCATGACCGACGATTGGCAGGGTCAGCGGCGTGATCAGCGTCCACGTAGCCGGTGAGATTGAAGCATGGCTGGTCGACAACAAAGTCGCATGCACTCCCCGGCGTACATCATATCGGGGATGAGAATCTGCTTTGCCGCCTCCCTTTCCTGCGTAACTGTGCCATGACCTTGGACGACCTGAATCACGCCATTGAAGCCGCGCACGTGGCTGACGTTGCCTCCCGGATCCATGTCGACAAAGACCTCTTGACTTCCCATTAGATGATGGGAGCTCCCGTTGTCGGGGAGCACCATACTTGGGTTCGCATGTACAATGGCGACGACCGCCTAAAAGTCCTCGCCGGCCTCCAGCGCTAGGGAAATGATTAGCTCCATCATGCCAGCCATAGAGCACGAGGCCGCTGCATCGTTGTGTACATGGCCGCTCAAAGAGCCGGCGTCCCTCGCCGACGACGTGCTTGATGTTTGCGTCTCCTTACACGGCTGATTGTCGGGATGATTGCGGCCGGCGTCGGTCTTTCCGTGGCTAGCTTCCTGGTGGTCGTCGAACTCTTTGCGGTCGAAGCAGTCTTACGAGAGGTGCCCCGTGTCTCCACGGACACAGCATTGGCGCCCACCTCCGCGTCGGCCACCGCCACCGCAATCGTTGTCGCATTTCCTCCAGGTCTATTCATGGGTACTGCTTCAGCTTGGGCTCAGGTGCTGTGTCGTGGAGGTCTACTCGTCGTCTGTGGCGCAGTCTAGCGCTGAGGCCGAAATCTATGTTGGTGCCATGGCTGTGCTGGAGTTTCGTTGGTTGACCTTCTCGCTCTGCACCGACCTTATTCGCTGACAACAAGGCCATGCTCCTCCAGTGTCGAGAGCCTCGCCTGGAGGGCAGATTGAAGCACATTGACGTGAGGTAATTTTTTGTGCGAGAGCTGCAGCGGCGCGGGCGGCCAACACTGCATACATCTTCACTAAGGCCCTTTCGCCTGGTGACCACCACAGGTTCTGTCTGCAGTCAGGCCTTGTTGAGGCAGGCCCTCGGTTGCTGTAGTCTTGCCTCTGTTTCTTGCTTTGTTTGTCTTTGTATCTATATTTATCTGTAAACTCTTGGATTGGCCTTGTGGTCTCTTGCGCGAGCTCAGAATGTGTGGTGACTTCGCGATCCACCTTGAGCTTTGCATTGTTGCTTCGCTTGACTGGTCTTGTGACCATTTGTTTCCCTTGCTTGTTTTGATGCCCATGCCCCTCACTTAGCCTATGGGGGTGTGCCAAATTATATATGTCTGTGATTGTTAGGCTAGAGTGATGTGCTCATTAGGGGGTACAGTTCTTAGGTCTCGACACTTTGTACCCCCCCTCATCCTAGTCGACACCTCATTCTCCTTAGTTTCTAAGAAAAAATCGCGCTATCACCCAATGGAGTTCCCCCAGGGTAGTATATGGGATCATGATTTAACGGCTTTATTTATTGTAACGCACGTTGTGGACACTATATTTATATTTAAAGGTTCATCAGATAAAGTTTGCCTTTACAATGATAACCTTTTTTTTCATACGGGCCTATATCCTAGCAAGAGCCCTGGACACTATGCTTTGCTCATCATAGAAGATCTAAATGAAAACCCACTCACATTTTGGTCCGTTACAGCGCCCACTTGTCGCGATTTTCCCTAGTCTCTGTAGTGAGTATGGGCACTCTTTGTTGGCTTGCATGTATGCCCTGCAACGCACTCGTTGCCGACCGTGACAGATGGTCTAGCGAGGGACTCCCCATGTTAGACCTAACACTTTGGCGCCTCGGAACAGATTCTAACTATGTTTCCGCATTTAATAAGTAGTGCATCCCGCCCCTCTTTTTCTAGACGGACGCATGAACGGATTCGAACCGGGCGCATTACTTTTGAGTCGACGCGCGAACGGACTCTAACCGCGAGCAACACCTCTTTTGAATCGACTCATGAGCAGGCCCGCACCGCGCGCATTCGAAACCGCCGAATGCGCGGAGACGCACACCCGCGCGTACGCTTACCTGCCGCCCCCATCCTATGGCTCCTCCTCCTCCTCCTCCTCCTCGTCCTTCTCCTAGATTTTATCTCCTGCGCTCGAGCCGCGATTCACACGTACTCGGGCCAGCGCGCCTACTATTCCGCCGACCTGCTCCTGTACCGGGCCGGCCGCGAGGGCATGTTTGCGAACGAGCGCGGGGCTTCGCCGGGATCTGGTTACATCCGGTGCGTTCGCTCAGCGGCCCTCCCTCGTCCTCGTCCCTCTTTCCGCCCGCTCCTGCTTCCCCTCACCCGCTCCCTCACCTTGACCAACCTGTGGTTGCTGCTCCCGTGGGGAGTGAATGCTGCACCCACCTGTGGGGAGTGTATAGAACTCCCTGTTTGTTTCACCTCCCCCCTTAACCCACCCCCACTTCCACCTTCCCCCTCCTTTTTCTTCCCCTCCCCTTTCCCCTTGCATCGACCCCTTTCCCTCCCCATCGTACCCCGTCCTCCTCCTTTCCCCGTCTTCCCCCCCCCTCGCCGTTCCCCCACCCCTTCCCCTTCCCCCCCTTTCCCCCTCTTTACCCCTTCTCTCCCTCTCCTTTCCCCCTTTTCCCCTCCTATACTCTTCCCCTTCCGACCACCACTCCGCTTTTCCACACATCCCCCCCTTCCTCTCCCCTTTCACCCCCTTTTCTCCACTCCCGCACCTGGTTTCCCCCATTCGCATTTCCTTCTCTGCCCCCCTCCTCCTCCTCCCTCCCCCCACCCCCACCTTCCCCAAGTGCCCGCCCACCCTCCTCCCCATCTCCCCCCTTTCGTTCCTGCCCTCACCCTCCCCATCTCCCCCCTGTCGTTCCCGCCTTCACCCTCCCTATCCGTCCACCCACCCATCCCCCCCTCCAGCGGCAGTGTTGCCAGCCTGCATGGGTTGCACCTGCAGCGCCCTCTCTTCTCCCCCAACTTACCCACCACCCATGCATCCCCCCCCCTCCGGCGGCAATGTTGCCAGCGTGCCCATCATGGGAGGCGGGGCTACAGCCGTTGGAGGGTGTGACAGGCGCACCACGCCACCCTCCCATCTCTCCACCCACCCACCCGCTCAACCCCCCTCCTTATACCAGCCTGCACGGGTTGCACCTGCAGCGGCCATCATGGGAGGCGGGGCTACAGCCGTTGGATGGAGTGACAGGCCCACCTTCCGCCCTCCCACACACCCTCCTTTCTACCCACCGACCCTCCCATCTTCCCACCCACTCTCCCATCCACCCATCTCTTCCTCCTATCCCATTCCTGCCAGTTTGCACGGGCTGCACCTGCAGCGGCCATCGTGGGAGGCGGAGCTACAGCCGCTGGAGGGAGTGATAGGCCCACCACACCACCCTCCCACACATCCCTCCCTCCTACCCCATTCCTTCCAGCCTGCACGGGTTGCACCTGCAGCGCCCGCAATGGGAGGCGGAGCTACAGCCGTTGAATGTCTCAGAGTGTCTTGTCGCACAACCCTCTCCTTCTCGCACTCACCCACCCACCCACCCACCCACCCACCCACCCACCCACCCACCCTCTCATCCACACACCCAACCCCCCCCCTTATACCAGCCTGCACGGAATGCACCTGCAGCGGCCATCGTGGGAGGCGGAGCTACAGCCGTTGGAGGGCGTGACAGGCGCACCTTCCACCCACCCACACAACCTCCCATCTTCCCGCCCACTCTCCCCTCCGCCCATCCATCTCTCCCTCCTACCCCATTCCTGCCAGCCTGCACGGGTTGCACCTGCAGCGGCCATCATGGGAGGCGGAGCTACAGCCACTGGAGGGCGTGACAGGCGTGGTGGAGGTGGTGGTGTTTGATATGAGCGTGCGGCACCGGATTGGTTACCGCTGGCAAAATAGCAGCAGCACAGACAAGAGTGAGTGTGAGCGAATCAATGTGCGTGATTGCCTGGTGATGCATGTGCGTGGTGGAGGGCGTGGTGGAGGTGGTGGTGTTTGGTATGCGCGCGTGGCACAGAATTGGGTTCCGCTGCCGCAACAGCAGCACAGATAGGAGTGCGGGTGGCGGGGTGTTGGAAGTAGTGGTGTTTGAGTTGAAACTATGAGTGTGCGTCACAGGATTGGGTTCCGCTGACGTCCCTTCCACCTTACTGCTTTCCTAGCATCCTTTTCTCCACCCCACCCCCCCCCCCCTGCCTTCTCCCCATGGCTGCCCCCTTCGCCCATGCAGACAGAGGGGTGGAGGAGGGCAGCGGGCCGCTCTTCTTCTGCTGTACCAAGGAGTTATTGTTCGCCTCGAATCATTACCAAAGCTTCTTTCTGTATCTACTTCCTCCCCCTTTCGCTCCTCCCTCTGCCCCATGCCATTGCCAACCCTGTTCGCCCATGCAGGCAGTGGGGTGGGTGAGGGCAGCGGGCCGCTCTTCTTCTGCTGCACCAAGGAGCTCGAGCCTCTCACCGGGTGCACTGTGGGCCGCCTGATAGTTTTACGAGAGGCACACGAGCCTGATGTGAGTTTGTGGCAGGCAGTGATGCATTTTCCCTCGTGCACGCACAGCACAGTGAGGGACTGGACTGGGGCAATGCAGTGCAGGTGGTGTGCCAATGCCTCAACTCAATGGCACCAAGCAGATAGGGTCATTCTCTGACATGTGGCTGGCCATGTGCGACAAGAACCTCCGTGGTTGCACCATCTGGACTCAAGTCCTTGAACCCTGCTCTGCCCTGCCCTCTCCCCCAGTGGCCTCGGGTCCTAGAGGCCCAGTTCCTCGGCAACAGCTCACTCACAGCAACATTGGATGCAGAGGTGCACGTGCCGCGGGCCGGCTTTGTGTATGTGTGGCTGGCCATGTGCGACAAGAACCTGGACAACACCAAGGTGTTTGGACACACGGAGTGGCGCGCGCACGGGTGGGGGTACCTGCCGGGCATGCTGTCCTCACATCTGCCAATACAAACAGGCTTGCTCGTGGTGAGTGTGCGGGTGGCCATGTGTGACTGACTGACAGCACCAAGAGCCTGGGCTGAACCGGGACAGCACCATCCAGACAGCACCATGCAGACAGCACCTCTTGAATGGCCTGGGTCTCAGCAGTTGCCTTGCCTCGTGTAGAGAGGGTGTTTTTGAGACGTCTCAAAAAGCGGGACAGCACCACCATGCAGAGAGCACCTCTTGAATGGCCTGGTGCTCAGCAGTTGCCTTGCCTCTGCTGCTAGCTCCCATGTGCGACAAGAACCTGGACAACACGAAGGTGTTTGGGCGCACGGAGTGGCGCGCGCACGGGTGGGGGTACCTGCCAGGCATGCTGTCGGCGCACCTGCTGATACACAGAATCATGCTGGTGGTGAGTGTGTCAGCATGAGGAGGAGATTGCTGCGTGAGTGAGTGCGATTCTTTTGAACACACAAGAGTTGTCCAGATGAAGGTTGGATTAAAAGAGACTCGCAAATCTAGGAACCCATAAACCGGATCAGAGCCGTCCAATCGCCTCTGTGGACCAGGATGAAAGCTGGAAGGCATTGTGAAATCAACTTGTCCTGAGGGGCGATGGGAGGGCACTAAATGGTCTAATCCAGAACACAAAACATTCTGCTGTGAGTTGGGTTTGTAGTGCCTCAATGGAACGACGGCATGCCCAGGCCGTTGGAAGGAACGACGGCATGCCCAGGCCGTTGGAAGGAACGACGGCATGGGCAGGCCGGAGTCTTGGGAGTACAGGACAGGCTTAGGCGAAGGGTTGAGATTGGGACGATTTTAAACTCTATACGTTGTGGTCTTGCGAATACAAGCACACAATGAAAACACTATGCGTGCTGCGACGTGAATGCTGAGCTGAGTTTACTTTTGAGTCGACTCTAAAATGTGAACTCTATCCATGCTGTTATGGCCCTATTTCCCCTGAAAGAGCTCAGCTGAGGTTAATGCATGTGGAATAATGAAGACTGTATGCAAAAAAATCTCAGCCACAAAAGAGTCTTGCCCATACCATACTCCTTCCCTTCTTCCACACCCCCTTCCCCTTTTTCCTCCAGCTCTACACCCTCCTCTACCTCGCATGGCGCCCCCAGTTCGGTCCGGCCTGGCACTCCCTGGACCGCAACTCGCTCCCTCACTTCCTCACCTTCCTCCTCCTCCTCTCCCTCCTCTCCACCCTCACCACCCTCTGCGACCTCCTCCTCCTCTGCACCACGGGGCACCGATTTGTTATAATCACGCTCGCTGCAGTGACAGCGGGGGTCCTGCAGGGGCTGCTGCTGAGGGGAGTGCTGGCGGGGGTGGCGGTGGGGGTTGGCACGCTGCTGCCAAAAGTTGGGGTGATTCCTGGCAAGGTGGGTTCGATGGTATGGAAGCTGGTGCAAAGTGGTACAAAACGATGCTCACCAGAGTGCTGGGTCCTGCAGGGGCTGCTGCTGAGGGGGGTGCTGGTGGGGGTGGCGGTGGGGGTTGGCACGCTGCTCCCGAAAGTGGGGGTGATTCCTGGCAAGGTGGGTCTGGGGGGGAATGTAATGCTGTGCAAAGCGGTGCAAAGGGGTGCAAGGAGATGCAGAGGTGCAGAGAGGCGCTTGCTGGAGTGCAGCAGTGCTCTCTAGTCGCACTGCCTGCAGCACTTCAGGGGTTTCCGTTTACAGCTGTGCTCGTGGGGGTGGCGGCGGGATTTGACCCTTGCTGCCGAAAGTAAGGGTGATTCCTGGAAAGGTGGATCTGGTGGGATGAGATGTGGTGCAGAGTGGCGCAGAGGGGTTTTTACTGGAGTGCTGCAGTGCTCTATTCCTGGAAAAGTGGAGCTGGTGATGTGAAAGGTCCAAAACGTTCCTTCCATCTCCCACTCCCCTCCTCCCTTTCTCCTCTCCACAGGCACTTATACCAGCAGCCATCTACGTGCTAGTGGTGGGAACATGCGAGGCAGTGAGGAACGTGGGGCAGGTAGATGATTGGGGCAGTGGCAAGGCATGCTCACACGAATCTTTGCATCTCTTACCCCACCCCTCCCTCTCTCCTCCTCCTCACAGGCGCTCATACCAGCAGCCCTATACGTGCTAGTGGCGGCAACATGCGAGGGAATGAGGAGTGTGGGGCAGGTGGACGACTGGGGCAGCGGAGAGCACGTGGCTCTGCATGCACCCCTCCTGCTCATGGACCTTCTCCTCGCTGCCTGGCTTATTCCGACCGCTCTCACCACCAAGGCGCAGGTGAGGGGGGGCCAGTACGGCAAATCAACAGGGCGTGTGAGGGAATGAGGAGTGTGGGGCAGGTGGACGATTGGGGCAGTGGGGAGCATGAGGCTCTGCACGCCCCTCTCGTCCTCATGGACCTGCTCCTCGCTGCCTGGCTCATCCGGGCCTCTCTTGCTACCAAGGAGCAGGTGAGGCATTGCGAGTAGGGTGGTAGGTTGACAGCTGTGATGTGATGTGAGTGACATGGATAGGTGAGGCGTGACACATTGACATGTGTGATCGTTCGGGCCATTGACACATTGACACGTGGCCCATGCTGCTTCTAGTTACGTGGTGACGTGTCAGTCGCTCATATGAAGAAATACCCTGTTCATAACATACACATTAACATGCACCATTCACGTTCGCCGTTCACCGATTTCCAGGGTGATTTTGATGAATATGAAGAAATACCCTGTTTATAAGTGCTGTTCACCCTGTTGATTTCCTTCCTGCAGTTGTTCTCGTCTCTTCTGTGCTGTGGCTTCTATGTGGTGTGTTTCTGAGTGTGGTGTGGTGTGGTGTGGTGTGGTGTGGTGTGGTGTGGTGTGGTGTGGCGTGGTGGTGTGGAGCGGTGTGATGTGGTGTGGTGCGGTGTGGTGTGGAGCGGTGTGGTGTCTTGCAATGGGGTGCTGTGTGGTGCGGTACGGTGCGATGCGGTGCCACACTGCAGTGCATGCAGGCTTCAGACAGTCGAATCGTAAGCACCTTCCGCCAGGCACTGGCAGCAATGGCAGCCATTGGCGCTGCTGCTCTCGCCCTCACCTGCTCGGAGGTGCATGCAAAAGCGACCCGCCCTTTGAGCTGCCTCAACTTTTGAGGTGCTTCAAAACTCACCTGCTGGGAGGTGCGTTCAAAGCGACGCGCACTTACCTGCTATTCCTTGAGACAAAATTCCACTATATCCCACCCCGCTTCCCTCTTCCTGTCTACTCATGAGCTGCTTCAAAAGCTTGTCTTTCTGCATGGAGAACCATGGAAAAGTGTATTTAATACCACCCCGTTTCTCTCCTCTTGTCCCCTCCCTCCCAGCACCCTCCTCCCCCTCCTTTTCTTCTTCTCGTCTTTCCTTTGCTGCCCCCTCCCAACCATCAGACCTATCCGCACGTGCAGACCTTGTGAAACTTATCCGAGAATTCTCAAAACTCCCCCTCACCCCCGCATCTCCCAACCATCAGGCCTATCTGAAGCTCTCAGACCCCCTCAACCTGCAGAGGCAGAGCGACTGGCTCATCACAGCAGCATGGCACCTCCTCCCCTTCCATACCTAGTCCTCTACCCCCCCTCCTCCCCCCCTCCTTCTCCCAACCATCAGGCCTATTTGAAGCTATCAGACCCCCTCAATCTGCAGTGGCAGAGCGACTGGCTCATCACAGCAGCACGGCACCTCCTCTCCTTCCATACCTAGTCCTCTACCCCCCCTCCTCCCCCCCTCCTTCTCCCAACCACCAGGCGTATCTGAAGCTGTCAGACCCCCTCAACCTGCAGTGGCAGAGCGACTGGCTCATCACAGCAGCATGGCACCTCCTCTCCTTCCTCACCCTCGCCTCCCTCTGCTTCCTCTGGAGCCCTGCCCACCTCTCCACCCGGTGCGTCTCTTTCCCCTGCCACACTTGTGCACACCTTGTCACACCTTGCCACCTCCTCTCCTTCCTCACCCTCGCCTCTCTCTGCTTCCTCTGGAGCCCTGCCCGCCTCTCCCTCCGGTGCGTCTCGTTCCCGCCTTTCCCCTGCCAGACCTTGCAACACCTGGTCACACCTCGTCACACCTCGTCACGCCTCGTCACGCCTCGTCACACCTCGTCACACCTCGTCACACCTTGCCACCTCTCTTTCCTTCCGCACCCTCGCCTCCCTCTCCTTCCCCTGGATGCCCGCCTTTTTTCCCCTGCTCTCCATATCTTCTGATTCGACTCAAACCCCTTTTTCACCCTTACCTTGCCGCTTCCTGGCCACACCTTGTCACACCTTGCCACACCTGGTCACACCTTGTGACACCTTGTCTCGCCCCCTCACCTTCCCATTTTCTCCTCTCTGTATGGATGCATGGAAGGTTGGAAGTGAATGTGTGCATGGTTGGGTTGGGTGCTTCATTTGTGAACAATATATTCCAGACCATTTTGACTTTTGAGTCGACTCAAAAGTCAGCTCGTTTTGAGTCGACTCAAAAGGTTGGAGGTGAGTGTGTGCATGGTTGGGTTGGGTGCTTCATTTGAGAACAATCTATTCCATACCATTTTTCCTCGTCCTATGTGGTGTTGCCTCAACAGTATACCTCACATTCACGTCTTAAACTCCCGGTTTCATCCGCTCACCGATTACCCTCCTTTTTCTGTACTGTCCGCTCTCATCCCGTCCCTTGCCCTCCATGCTATTTGTTACGCCTTATTCCTACGGCATCACTACGGGGTACACCTTTCTAATGCTCCTTACCTTAGGCATGATGGATCCACTCAGGGCGACAAGGAAGAAGCAACGTCTCTCATGTCTTAGTGGTGGTATGCGTCGGCACTTTGCCCTTTTGCTGAATTTGGTACTGTATATGTATAGTACAAAACTGATAAGAGTGAAGTTTGTGGGCTGCTGTGCGATACAGTGGGCCACTGTATGATACTGTAGCATTTTCCTGAGGTGCCCCCAAACCCAAACCCAACTCAGCCTGACGAGGGTGGCAGGCAACCTCGCTGGATGAATGAATTGTCCTCTGCGACTTGTTGCTACGGTACCGACTTTCATCTTGTGCGCTAAAGAGCTTGAAGCGATCAGCATCGTCCCTGATACCCTGGCAGTGACTGGACCGGACCGGATAGTGTGTCACACGACGGAGAAGCTAGTCTAGTCCTGCGACCTTTTACTTCAAACATATATCAAACCAGTGACAAACAGCTGGAAAATCAATCGCCCACACTTCACTCTCAAGCCTTCACGCAGATGCACACTTCATTCTGTGAGACACAGGAATTTATCCAACCAACCCCAGGTGGAAAGCCTACCTACCCTACACCCAGCTAGGGAGGGAGCCTGCTTTATTCACCCTTCAGTCACCTACTCGTTGCACAATTTCGTCGTTTCCCTTGCGCTTTGTTCAGTCGCTTGCCCACAGGGCTCAGGTTTGCAGTGTAATTTACCCTTCTATACTGATTACAAGGGTGAAATTTTGGGTCTACACTGATGTGCTGGGGTATTTTTTTGGTGAGTTAGTGTTACACTGATCTGTAAGTGTATCGACGTAGGCCACACTGATGCCTTGGGGTAAAATTTCCCTTAGCGAAGATTACACTGAAGAGCGTACGCCCCCCCCCCCCCTCCCTCCCCCTCCCCCCACCCCCGCTTTTCCCCGAAATTTGTCAGATCGTGATTTCCGTTCATCACGCAAGTGCCGAGGATTCCTTCCGTGCAGTACGTGCGTTGGCCGCAGTCACGTGTTCCGATTGGTCTGTTAGGAATGATTCCCTTGCCAGCACGCCACGAAACCGAACATTGGCAGCAACTACAGTATTGCTGCCTGCACTAGGTCTAACCACAAGAATTTGCGAACATCTGTCAGTGTTCGAAAAAAACCACACTGATGATGCAGGGTAAAAAAATCAAAACCTGATGTTACACTGCTCTATTAGTGTAACGGAAAAGTACACACTGCCCATAAGGGTTTTTGAAAAAGCTACACTGCCAATCGTGAGTAGGCCAAATCCAAAACGAAGCCCTGCTTGCCCATCCAATAAGAGTCATGATGATGCTGCTGCTACGAGCCGGGCTGCGTGCCGAGCTTATTAACTTATAAACAGACACCTGCGATTCAATACAGTCCCAGTCCGAACCAGCAGGGCAGACCACAGGCCGCAGCTGCAACAGCAGGCTGATACACCATCTCAGCACCATTAGCAACAGCAGCACCATTAGCAGCAGCAGCACCAACACCAGCAGCACCAACACACAACAGATGCCACATCAGCATTGCAGCACAGTGGATGCCACAACAGCATCACAGTACAGCAGACGCCACATCAGCATCGCAGCACAGCAGATGCCATGTCAGCCTCTTCAAACATCACCACATCCACGTCTTCACTGAACTTCACCCTGCTCACTGTTCGCCTGCGCTGCAGCTGAGGCACTGCCATCTCATCGCCCTCACTCACACCCACACCCATCTGACTCGCGCCCATGCCCACGCCCATGCCCATGCCAGCACCTGTGCCCCAGCCCCTGAAACTGTGTCGGTCAAGTGTCATGGTGCGGCCACACAGTGGCCTTGCGCTCTCCACAGCAGAAGGTGACCAGGCTCTACCGGATGCTTCTTCTCTAGCCGCTGCTGCTGCTGCCTTTTGAGTCGACTCAAAAGTCATCTCGCCACACAGTGGCCTTGCGCCCTCCACAGCAGGAGGTGACCAGGCTCCACCGGATGCTGCTTCTCTGGCCGCTGCTGCTGCCATGCCACTGCCAGCACCACTAGCGCCACCAGCAGCACCACCAGTAGCACCAGCAGCACCAGTAGTACCAGCAGCACCATCAGCACCAGCAGCACCACCGGCACCAACAGTGCCAAGCGCAGCTTGTTGTGGCTTCCCATACAAGCACCAGTCAGAAGAGCGCTCAGCAATCCGTTTGACTGCCCAGTCAGAGGTCCACTCAAAGCGCTGCTCATGCTGCTGCTGCTGCTGTTTCTGATCGTGCTGCTCATGCTGCCCCCTTGCCTCCGCCACCAGTGTCCTGTTGGCCCTCCAGTCCTCCGTATGACTGCGCCTCAACTGCCCTGCCCCTGCCCCTGGTGCACTTGCTACTCTTTGCACGTGCTGCTGCTGTTTCTGATCCCGCTGCTCATGCTGTCCCCTTCCCTCAGCCACAAGTCTCTGTGCCCTCCAGTCCTCTGTCTGACTGCGCCTCAACTGCACTACCCCTGCCCCTGCCCCTGCCCCTGCCCCTGCCCCTGCCCCTGCCCCTGCCCACGCCCATGCACCTGCATCTGCTGCTCTTCCTAATCTTTGCAAGTGCTGCCGCTGGTTCTGACCGTGCTGCTCATGCTGCCCCCTTGCCCTGTGACCCCTCCAGTCCTCCGTCTGACTGCGCCTCAACTGCACTACCCCTGCCGCAGCCCATGCACCTCCACCTGCTGCTCTTGGTTCGTTTTGTACGTGCTGCAGCCGGTGCCGTTGCTGGTGCTGCTGGTGCTGATGCTGGTGCTGGTGCTGGTGCTGGTGCTGGTGCTGGTGCTGGTGCTGGTGCTGATGCTGATGCTGCAGCTGTTGCTCCAGGTGCTCCCGCCACCATTGGCTTTGCACCTGCTGCAACTGCCGCTCGTGCTGCTGCTGCTGCTGCTGCTGCTGCTGCTGCTGCTGCTGCTGCTGCTGCTGCTGCTGCTGCTCCTGCTCTCGCTCTACCCTCTCTTGCCAGCTTCCTCCTTGCTGCCGCCACCATTGGTTTTGCACCTGCTGCAACTGCCGCTCATGATACTGCTGCTGCTGCTCTCGCTCTACCCCCTCCTCCTCCCCCTCTTGCCAGCGTCCTCCTTGCTGCCCCCCCAGCATGCTCAGACCTTGCATTCCCCGGATCCCATCCAGCTCATCCCATCCAGCCTCAACTCCCGTCTCTTCCCTCTCCCCCCCACCTCCCCTCAGCACCAGCCCCACCACATCCAGCTCTCTCAAATCCACCTGCTGCTGCTCCTGCTCCTCCTGCTCGCACTCTTCCTGCTCTTGCACATAGGCGGCTGCTCCCAATCCCTCCTCTCTCCTCCTGCCCAATTCACCTTCCCCAGGTCCCACCGGCAGCTCTGGCAGTGGCAGGCTGAGTGGCATTTGAGAATCGTCTACTGCACTCCACTGCTGCTGCTGATGCTGCTGCTGCTGCTGCTGCTGATGATGCTGATGCTGCTGATGCTGCTGATAAGGTTGATAATGCCAAAACATATGTTGCTGCTGCTGATGCTTGTATCCTTGCTGCCCATGCTCGTGCAGGTATAAATACTCTAACAGATCTCGCTCTTGCTGCTGCTGTTGTTCTTGTGCTTGCTGCTGATGCTCTTGCTGCTGTTGCTGCTGGTTATCGCACTGCTGCTTCTGCAGCAACTGATGCCCCTGAGCCATACAGCGCTGCCAATGCTGCTGACTGTCCTGCTGCTGAGAGGGCATGGCAGGGCCAGGAGGAGCAGCATTGGCTGTTGAACAGCTCGCCATATGAAGCCTGGCTACAGCACTGTCAGGTGCTGCGGGGCCGGCTGTAGCAGGAATGGCTGTAGCAGGAATGGCTGTAGCAGTGGTGAGTGCAGGCATGGCAGGGCCAGGAGGAGCAGCATTGGCTGTTGAACAGCTGGCCATATAAAGCCTGGCTACAGCACTGCCAGTTGCCGCATGGCCGGCTGTAGCATGGCCGGCTGTAGCATGGGCGGCTGTAGCATGGGCGGCAACAGTGGAGTGCCTGGGAGGATCCTCCTGGAGTGTAGCATCCTCCTCAACCATAATTGCCTGTGGCGCATCAGATGTAGGCGGATGTGTGGTGCTCCTGCAGTCAGGCGAGCCAAGGCCCGAGCTTTCACACCCCGAGAAGGACGAGGAGCGGCGACGGGCAGAGGCAGATGGGCACGAGGATTGCGGGTTGTTGAGCATGGGGGGTGGGGAGGAATGAGGGGGCGGGGAGGAAAGTGGCAGACTTGGGAGGAGTCTGGATGGGTGACCAGGGAAAGGAGTCGTGGAGGCGTGGGGTGGGGGTAGGGAGGAGCGCGGAGCAGAGAGAGTGCGATGAAACCTGTCACCCTGTGCTGCTGACGGGGCTGTAGAGGCACCCTGCTGGAGCTGCTGCTGCTGCAGCTGCATCCATTTCTGCCTCTCTGGCTGTCTGTGCTCCATGGCTGCAAAAGCATCTCCATTATCTGAAGGAAAAGCACTCCCGGCTAAAGGAACAGCTGCGTTTCCGGGAACAGCAATCCTTTTCACAGTGTGAGGCTCCTCAACACCACACCCTTTCACAGTCAAAACAGGCTGTATGATCTCCTCCTCATTCCAGCTTCCTCCAGTTAAAGCCGGGGGTAGAGACTTGGAATGCGGAAAGCACGGTCTATCACTCCGCTGCCCGCCTTTCTGCAGCAATTTCCCCTTTGCTGTGGGCTCACATGCCATGCCAGACTGGCTTGACTCTACCATTGCTGCTGTTGCTTCTGCTCCTTTGCTGGGTCTCTGCGGCAACTTCCCCTTTGCTGTGGGCTCACATGCCATGCCAGAGTGGCTTGACTCTACTATTGCTGCTGCTGCTTGTGCTCCTTTTCTCCTTGCTCCAGCTCCTGCTACTGCTCCCGCCGTCCCCGCTGGCCCCCCCTTCCCCGCTGCCCCTGCCGTCCCCCCTCCTCCCGCTCTTGCTACTGTAGGCACCTCGCCGGTATCTCCTCCTCCTCCTTCAGGCACTGCCCGCAGCAGCACAGGAGGATGCACAGAGCTGTATCCGGAGAGGTTCTCACTGCAATGCCGGCGCAGCATGTCAGCATCGCTGCCTGCCTCTGCCGCACCTGCACACACACCTCCTGCCCCCAGCAGCCCTCTCAGAAGCCTGTTCACCTCACAACCATCCCCCCCACCATTCTCCCCACCATCCCGCCCACCATCCCCCAACCCATGATTCCCACCATCCCCTAACTGCTGCTGAAACGCCCCACGCGCAGACAGGTTCTCGCTGCGATGCCGACGCAGCAGTCCGTCACCGTCGGGAATACCCGCACACACAGTGCCCAGTGGGTCATGTCCATCACCCTGTCTCAACTGTGCCACGCCCAGGTGGTGCGAGCTCTCCCCCTCCAGCATCCCCACCAGCAGCCTGTCCACTGGGAACACATCACTCTCCCACGCGATCGGCGCTACTGCGTGCGAATCCAGCCAGGAGTGCCCTGTGCCATCCCTCATGTCTCTCTCCCTCCTATCTCTCTCCCTCCTGTCCCTCTCCCCTCCGTCTCTTTCTATGTCCCTCTCTCTGTCTCCGTCCCTCTCTCTGTCCCTGTCTTTCTCCCTGCGTCGCTCCTCCCCTGAATGCCATCCAGAGAATCCCCCAATCAGTTTCTTCGCCACCTCTGGCAACTTGAGCGCGCGGGGAGACACAACAGGCAGCTGCTGCAGCCCTGCTTTGCCCACCCCTGGCAGGTTCTGCAGGCCTCTTCGTGCTATTTCTGGCAGGTGCAGGTGCTGCAGCCCCCGGGGAGACATTCTCCGCTGCAAGGACCGGCTTCTTGTAGGCTTACCCACCCCAGCAAGCGGGTCACATGTAGCAGCGGCAGACGGAGGTGAGACTGCTGAGGCAACACCATCACCATCTCCAGAACCATCAGCGTTGGCAGCAGGCTCAGACGCAGCTGCACCCCGCACACCACCACCGCCAACACCAGCAGCAGCAGCACTGCCAACAGCAGCAGCAGCAGTGCCAGCAGCACCACCTACTCGCAAATCGCCCCCAAGAGCTGCTAAGGCATTGCCAGGCAAGATTTCCCTGGGAGAGCTGGGCCCCAGCAACCTTTCCCTGGGAGACCTGGGCACCCCCGACCTTTCACCGGGAGACCTGCTGTCTCGCCCCCTCTGGCCTCCTGGAGACACGCTGCTGCTGCTTCTGAGCGGTGGTCTACCACCCACTGGTGATGGGCTGCTGGGTGGTCTACCACCAACCGGTGACTGGCTGCTTGGTAGTCTACCGCCCACTAGGGACGGGCTGCTTGGTGGTCTACCACCGCCCAGGGATGGGCTGCTGGGTGGTCTACCACCCACCAGGGGAGACGGGCTGCTTGGTGGTCTACCACCCACTGGCGACTGGCTGCCTGCACTGTGCTTCACCTGGCCTGCAGCAACAGCAGCCCACTGGGTACCCGCACTTGAAGCCCTACCCTGAACCTCGTTGCTTACCCCCGCCGCACTGCTCTGGTAACTCCCAGGTGATTTTCTGCTGCTGTCACGTGCAGTGCTCCGCGCGCGCTGCTTGCCATGACTGCCCTGCAGACTGCCAGGGGACTTGGAGCGCACCAAAGCTAGAGGGCTCCACGCGCGAGACCCCTTCCCGTGCGCACTGCTGCTGTACCCCCCCGTGTTCTCGAAGCTACCGGGATGCCCCGCTGGCAGTGCTGATGCCGATGCTGACAGTGCGGATGCCGATGCTGACAGCGCTGATGCTGAGATGACGTCATCGTAGTGTGAGGGCGGCGGGGGTGGAGGGAGGCTGGGGAGGCGTGACCTAAAGAAGCTCATCTTGTTCGAACCTTTGGCTGCTGTGGCAGCTCCTTCCCCTCCCCCTTTTCCTCCTTTTCCCCCTCCAGCTGCTGCTGCTCCTGCTTCCGGCACGCGGCCATCAGCAGCAGCAGCAGCAGTGGCAGTGGCAGTGGCAGTGGTAGGTGCTACTGCTGACGGCGATATTCGGCTCAGCCGTCCCCCTTTGCTCCGCCCTTCAGGAACCTTCTCAGAACCCCGCCTGGAGCCTGCTTCTACCACATCCTTGCCCCTTGCATCCCTCCCAATCCCGTCCTCTTCCGCCATACCCCCACCAACCGCACCAAACCCCACCGATCCAACCCCCAGCATCTCATCCCCGTTATAAGCGTCCCCAGGAACGCCCTCCTCCCGCTTCTCGCACGACACAGGGAGCACCGCAGCACTCTGCCCATCAGTGTACTTCCGCCAGCAGGCCTGCAGCACGTTGGTGGAAAAAACGTCCAGATCCGGCCGCCACGGCTCCGGCTGCACGTTGCTGTGGAGAAACAGCTGCCATGCAGCGTGCGCCTGTGCAATAACCTCAAGGGCCTTGTCCGCGCCGTAGCTGTCGTCACTGGCTAGCATTGCCTGGCGGTCCCCTGGAAGCAGGGGAGAACAGACGAATAAGTCATTGCACTTTAGACTCCAGGTTCCGACCGAATGTGGCTGTGGAGGAAGCTAAGAGCTCTCCTGGTAGAACCACCCCCGTGAAGCGCCGCATTCGTCATCGTGTGGTGAGGTTGATCGTCGATCTATGGGGGCTGGAAGGAGCGAGAGCGATGGTGGGAAACGCGGCGAAGGTTCACAGCGCGAAAACTTGAACGAAGAGATGATTAGACCTAGTTACGGATCCGCACGACTTCTTTTCCACGGTTGATCTTCTGTCCAGCTCCCCTCCCCCATTCCTTCAGTGGTGCTGAAGCCTGGATAGATCAAGACCACATAAACATTACTGAAATATGACTTTGCAGGATTCCGAACTGTACAGCTCAGGAATCAACACGAGTATAACGCTATTATTTAGTCCCTGAATTCTTCGCAGGGACCACGAGAAGTTCCTGAGGGACCTCGAGGCCTCCCAAAGCACCACGTCAGTTCACACTTTACCGCGACTCATGCGTCTTGACGATAAGACAGAATCGTCAGCATCCAGTTTATCCAATCACAAACAAGGAGCCTCACCAGGTTCAGTGGTGTCGCAAATCGTCAGCCAATGCATGAGGGATTCCATTGTTCCCGGGAGCAACGCGTACACGTCATCAACGTGATTCATCAGGCTCGCCAGCAAATCCCTCGCGCCGATTCCCACCACCACCCAGGCCAATCCAGCCTCGCGCACAACTGGAATCACGCCGAGCGGCTTAATCGTGTAAACCTGCCCTAAATCCGCGGACAGCCCACCCGAAACATCTATCACCTCTAAGGGACTACCGCAACCCATCATGCCCGGAAATTCTTCGACGGGTTCCTCCGGGTCCTGCCACGTCTGCGGCAGCACACCGAGGTTCCACATGGCGTTGCCACAAAAGTGCGACGGTTCCCCGCGTTTCGGAGTAACGCGCAGCGGAGTGTATTCCTCCGGTGCGAATTCGTGCTTCAACCAACTGCCCGACGGCGTCGCGCAAACGCAGTTCAACCAGCTGTTTTCGCCGTACAACGGGATGTTGTGCCACGGCGAAACGATGCGATCTCGGCGATCGAGAAACATCATGCGAAACCCCAACGAACCGGGCTCGCCGAAACGCACCGCGTGCCCGCCGCTGTCCCCTTCCCCCCAAGAGAGTTCCGGCAGCTGCGGCTTTTGGCGCAACGAATCTACACGCGGCGGTAACTGCTGGGCGACATCGACTCGTTTCGTTAACTCCTCTTTCGACCACTCCTCTAACCTTTCCCGTTCCAGCGAGAGTTGCGCTTGCGTTTGAGGTGGCGGTACTGACTGCTGCTGCGGCAGCGGTTGCTGCGAGAGCAACAACTGCTGCGGCTGCGACCACGTGCGCGTGAGCCATGCTGACTGCGGCTGCTGCGCTGACAGTATCTGGGTCGATTCCTGCTCGCGCCATTGCGCTAGCTCTGGCGGAAGAGTCGTATCTTCCATCTGCTGTGTTTTCTCCCTCTGTCGGTTGCGGTTGCGTGTTCACCTGTCGCCGCGCGACTCTCGCCGTGCGTTCCGCTGTTTCAGATACAGCCGCCACGGTAAGCTCTGCGAACAACAGTCTATCCCATCCCTAGAAGAAAGATACGTCGTTACGGGATAGCAAACCCATGTTGAAGACTTCCTTTCAATTGCATCCCCTTGCAGTATTTGTTCCATCACTAGCCTTTCAAACAAGACCCACAGGAATGGTATTCGATCGCCCGTGCCTGATGCTTGACCCCCCCTGCTCCACTACTTGACGCGTGAGCAGATTTTTTTGGAGCTTCCTCCACTGGAAGGCCCCAACAGCTCCTTGACGGCTTTCCCACAGACACTCTTCTCCAACACCCACAGATGCACTCGTTCTTGTCAACGAAAGTTGGATTGGAACTTGGAATGAATACGCTCTCTCGCTCACACGCACAGTCCGTCAATTTGCTGTGCTGGCCAGCCGATTTGTTTTCAAGGGTCTAGTCGACCCTTGTTCAAAGGATTTGCTGGTGCGGAAATCACGCGACTTGTTTCCCCTTGAAGATTTATTTTCCGTACAACCTTTTGCAATTGTGACAATTGTATTTACCTTCTGGCTGTGCGTGTTTGGAGGAAAAAAACGGCCAGTGATACGGAGGATGGTATCGTATATCCCACGTCATTTAGGGTTTTCCAGCTTTCCGCATCAACGCTGGGAGAAGGCAAGCATGGCGTTATGGACTGGGGCAGCTTCAAAACTGGTCTGCACTGGACCCCAGGGCGCACGCTAGAGGAAATTCGAGGAAGCGCTTCCGTAATGTACACCATTTTTCCAGGCCACAGAAAAACCCGAAGAGGTGTCAGACGTTTTCACATCTCCTCTCCACCGAGCAGCAAAGGAGCACAACACAGCCGAACCGTCGGATCTGCTCAGAATAGCAGCGTGTTTATCCTGTTTTTCAATAAGGCAGGGTTGCTATCACCAACTTGCAAAAGCAGCAGTTGCCATACAGTATGAAAACACTCATATTGTTTCTTGCAAGCTAATTTGCGGCTGAATTTCACCAAACCAGTATTTTCCCATTCCAGCTGAAGCCGAAGCCCTCCCTGAAATACTATCAGCCATGTGTAGTTCCAATTAACGAGTACCGTAACTGGACAGAAGCAACCAGGCCACGACGAGCCACAAACCTTAACTGCATTGCAGAGCAGAGTGCGCACTAACCATGCAGCCAAGCAGGTCTTACTCCCAACTTCTCCACACCCGGCCATGTTGACTGAGCATAAAGGACGAGGAAAATGTTACAAACATAACTTTGAGGGGATTTCGACTCAAAACTCACTGAAGCCGTACCCATCTTTAGCTTTGGTGGGCTGATGCTCCTTGAGGCTTGACTGGTACACTACGCTGCTGAGGCGTCCCATCCCATCCCAGGCCCATCCCATCCCAGGCCAACCCATCCCAGGCCCAACCCATCCCAGGCCATCTCATCTCAGCCATAACCCCGCAGAGTGCTCATGCAGCAGCACTGCATATCCCGCATCACCATCACCCCATCAACCCCTCCCCCCCCCCTTCACCCCGCCGAGTGCTCGTGCAGCAGCACATACTCGCGGCTGCTGTTGCCAAACTTCACCGTGTCCTTCTCCATCAACTCATAGTATCTCTGCGCGTCAATGCGTGATCCCTGCACGCAGAGGGGCGATGGACGGCACACGCAGCAGAGCAGGGCAATGGGGGGATTGCACACAAGGCATCAGGAAGTACTCTCCCCACTGCCCAGCTTCACCGTGCCCTTCTCCATCAGCTCGTAGCACCGCTGTGCCTCGATGCGCAATCCCTGCACGCATAGGGGCGATGGACACACAGACAGACAGACAGGTTGCACGCACACACAAAGGTGCAAGAAACACTGCCACTAGTGCCGAGCTTCACCGTGTCCTTCTCCATCAGCTCGTAGCACCGCTGTGCCTCGATGCGCGACCCCTGCAGGCAAAAGGGCAACGGACACACACAGACAGGGGGTTGGAGAACACACACAAGGGGCAAGAAGCAGTGTCACAAGTGCCAAACTTCACCGAGCTTTCTCCATCAACTCATAGCACCGCTGTGCCTCGATGCGCGACCCCTGGATGCAGAGGGGTGATTGACAGTACACACACAAGGAGAGTGGGACAGCCCGCACACAGACAGACGGGTTGTGCGAACACACAGGCAGTTGGATGCGGGTTGATCGAACACACAGTGCCTCGATGGCCTGTGCCTCGATGGCCTGTGCCTCGATGCGTCATCCCTGCACACCGCATACACACCAGGGCAATAGACGGTTTGTGGCGCCTCCACTTTGCTCCCCATATCCCCGGAACATAAGGCAGCACTGTGCATCCATGGGTGCATCTATTCTCGGTTGTGTGGACAACAGCTCTTCTCCATCCGTGCGTATGTGAACACCCGACGAACAAAGGAGCACCACTTGTCATGCCGACACTAGTTACCACCAATCTCATGCATGCATGCATGCACCCACGCCCCACGAACCAATGGGGAAGGCCTGCGCTGTGCATACATGCATGCATGCGCGCATGCGGCAGGTGGTGTGGTAGCGAGTCGACGTAGAGAGATTTAGATGGGGGTTGGAACGGACAGATTTGAATATACATACACACAGCCATGCAGACTGGAACCCTATCCACCATGCCATGCTACCCCATCGCCATGCCGCACCACACCACACCATGCCCCACCGTGCAGCGCCATGCTCCACCATGCCCCACCATGCATCACCGTGCAGCACCATCCACTACAATGCAGCACCATGCACCACCGTGCAGCACCGCGTGTGGCTCACATTGAGGAACGTGCCGTTGGTGCTGCCAAGATCCATGAGGTAAGGCCTGTGACGAAGAAATGGGGAATGAGAGAGGAGGAATGAGGGATTGCGATTCAGAGGAGTGAGTGGTTACAAGTGAGATCAGGCCTGCAGAGAAGAAATGGGGAATTGGAAGATGAGTGGGTGATTGAGAATGGCTGCAAATGGTTGTGGTATTGAGTGATGGCAAATGGCGTACGGGAATGCCTTTCCCTATGCACACATGCGACCAGCTTTCCCCTCTCATTTTCTTCACCTCATAAAAGGCAATCCTAACTCACAAGCCCCACTCTCTCACCTCACAAGCCGCACTCTCTCACCTCACAGCCCCACTCTCTCACCTCACAAGGGAAGTCATCTCCCCACTCGGTTCCTCCTTGTCCACCAGGCTGGCACGGCCACAACAGAATCACCACTACCAAGCACATCTCACAAGCCCCAGTTCCTCACCTCACAAAAAAAAAGAATCTCATATTACAAGCACCGCTCTCTCACCTGACAAGAGACGTCATCTCCCCACTCGGCTCTTCCTTGTCCACCAGGCTGGCATGACCACGAATGTGGGCAATGGCAGGGGAGGGAGATAGACACGAGACAGGGTAAACAAAAAAAACAACTAGATTGGCACAGTCACGATAGAATGCAATAGCAGAGGAGATGCTGGCGTTGAGATCGGTGGGATGGTGAGATGGTGAGATGAGGAGGAGATGAGATGGTGAGATGAGGAGGAGATGAGATGGTGAGATGAGGAGGAGATGAGATGGTGAGATGAGGAGGAGATGAGATGGTGAGATGAGGAGGAGATGAGATGGTGAGATGAGGAGGAGATGAGATGGTGAGATGAGGAGGAGATGAGATGGTGAGATGAGGAGGAGATGAGATGGTGAGATGAGGAGGAGATGAGATGGTGAGATGGGATGATGGCGACACAAGAGGTTGCATGGAAAGACGTGGTAAGCAGAAAGCAGACATGCAGACAGGTGCGATGGCGCTCACATGGTGTGATGGCGCTCACATGGTGTGATGGCGCTCACATGGTGCGATGGCGCTCACATGGTGCGATGGCATGGCGCTCACATGGTGCGATGGCGCTCACATGGTGCGATGGCGCTCACATGGTGCGATGGCGCTCACATGGTGCGATGGCATGGCGCTCACATGGTGCGATGGCGCTCACATGGTGCGATGGCGCTCACATGGTGCGATGGCGCTCACATGGTGCGATGGCGCTCACATGGTGCGATGGCGCTCACATGGTGCGATGGCGCTCACATGGTGCGATGGCGCTCACATGGTGCGATGGCGCTCACATGGTGCGATGGCGCTCACATTGTGCGGTGGCGCTCACATGGTGGGATGGCGCTCACATGGTGCGATGGCGCTCACATGGTGGGATGGCGCTCACATGGTGCGATGGCGCTCACATGGTGCGATGGCGCTCACATGGTGCGATGGCGCTCACATGGTGCGATGGCGCTCACATGGTGCGATGGCGCTCACATGGTGCGATGGCGCTCACATGGTGTGATGGCGCTCACATGGTGCGATGGCGCTCACATGGTGCGATGGCGCTCACATGGTGTGATGGCGCTCACATGGTGCGATGGCGCTCACATGGTGCGATGGTGCTCACATGGTGCGATGGCGCTCACATGGTGCGATGGCGCTCACATGGTGCGATGGCGCTCACATGGTGCGATGGCGCTCACATGGTGCGATGGCGCTCACATGGTGCGATGGCGCTCACATGGTGTGATGGCGCTCACATGGTGCGATGGCGCTCACATGGTGTGATGGCGCTCACATGGTGCGGGCAGGAACAGCATGTGGTGACAGGGGGGGTTGGAGGAGAGGGCAGGGTGGAGGAGAGGAGGCGTGTGGTGAGAGAACAGCCAGCCACTTACATGGAGTGAAACACAACAGCAACACCACACGGCACTGCACAGCACCACAGGGCACCGCACAGCAGACTCACCGGAACTGAACGACAGCATGCTGCTTGCTGCACAGCACACAGCACACCATGCTGCACACCACACAGCACCGCACGGCACCGCACAGCACACTCACCGGAACTGAACGACAGCATGCTGCTTGCTGCACGACGGATGGTCTGTTGGCACATCTGCAACCTGCCCCCCCACGTCACACACACGCATAGTAAAGCAGCGGGGCAGCAAACAGAAAGGTTATAGTTCTGACGGCCACAACGAGAAGGCCCACGATGGATGGTCTGCTGGCACGTCCGCTACCTGCCCCCCCACGTCACACACACGGTAAAGCAGCAGGAAAGCGAGCAGAAAGTTTCTAGTTCCACGAGGGAAATGAGTCGTGTTTTGAGTCGACTCAAAACACAAAAGTTTATAGTTCCACAAGGGAAAGCCCCACGATGGATGGTCATAAGGCCACAAGGGAAAGCCCCACGATGGATGGTATGTTGGCACATCTGCAACGTGCCCCACGCCAGATAGCCAGATGGTTACATGCGAACAAAACATCTAAGTTGACTTTTGAGACGTCTCAAAAGGACATTAGACCTCCGCAGCCCACCTGTTCTATAATAACCAAGGTTCAAAAATACGGTTTTCGTAAAAAACGGTCCGTTTTTTACGGTAATTTTCCAAAAAAACGGCGTTTTTTTGTTAGAGAACTGTTGTCACCAAGAAAAAAAGGGGAAAAACAAGGTCGAATACCTTTTCAATCATGCCCACAAGCGCACGCATGCAAGGAGGGGTTCGTCCTCTTCATCCTGGTACCTTTCGCCATCAATTTGGTCCCAGAAATTGGCCGATTTTTTCTTCAAACGAAACCACCTTCTGCAACCCTTTTTACCGTTTTTTACGGCCGTTTTTTACGGTAAATTTTCAAAAAAACGACGTTTTTTTTAACCTTGATAATAACAGCATCTGCAACGTGCCCCACATCGGATAGCCAGATGGTTACATGCCAACAAGCCAGATCATCCTACGGCGCTGACGAAGGCCTCACGGCCGAATCCATATCTTCTTGTGTTAGATAGCCAGATGGTTACATGCCAACAAGCCAAGGTGCACGACGGATGGTCACACTTGCACTTCAGCAAGGTGTCAGTGGTTGCATACATGGTGAAAAATCGGCAAGATGGGGATATTGAGGGTTGCTATAGAATCAAAAAGGAAGAAGAAAAGAGAAGGACATGACAGTTAGGGAGTTTTTGCATACGATGCATGGTGATTTGAGGCGTTTCAACACTTGGCAAAGGGTAATTGGAATATGTGGATGGGTAATTGCCGTGCCACAACCACAGGACCATTACCCCCCACCCTCCCCCCTCATTCTCCCATTGCCCCTCCATACCATCCCGTTGTGCCATTGCCCCTCCATACCATCCCTTTGCCCCTCACACTCCCACTCTCCCTCACACTCCCATTGCTTGCCCCCCGCCCGCGCTCACTTTTCTCTCGCGGCCAAAGAGGTAGCACGTCTGGCGATGGATGTAGAGCGGCTCTGATACCATGTGTGTGCAGGGGCGGACCGATATGCATGCAGAAGCGGACCGATATATGCACGCAGGGGCACACAGACATGCATGCACATGCACACACAGACATGCATGCACATGCACACACAGACATGCATGCACATGCACACACAGACATGCATGCACATGAACACACAGACATGCATGCACATGCACACACAGACATGCATGCACATGCACACACAGACATGCATGCACATGCACACACAGACATGCATGCACATGAACACACAGACATGCATGCAAATGCACACACAGATAGGCATGCACATGCATGCAGAAAACCGCAAGAAACACAAACTAAATGAGTAGGGCAAGTGTCAAGAAGGTGAGATTTTACGTTTGGCGTTGGATGTAGGGTGGGTGGATCTGATACCATATCTCTGCAGGGAGGGGCGGACAGACAGACATGCACGCACACACCGGCACATACATGCACGGCAACACACGCGCACGCGCTCTCGCACACACACACATGAACACAGGGGGGTGGAGGTTGTGGTGGGGGGCAGAGAAACTGGGAGGGGAGAGGGGAGGGGAGGGGAAACGGGGGGAAGGGTGTGAGGTGTGGTGCAGGGAAGGGGAATGGGGGAGTGGGGAGGGGGGAGGGGGAGTTGGAAAGCAAAACCACAAGAGAGTGGATGGGGTTGCTGAGAAGAAGAGTGCATGAAGCGATTAACGGCACCAGTCTTCCAAGTCTTACCACTGACTGCACGCATCCCCGCCTGTCAGGGATTACCTCAAAGAAGCTCCCTACCTTTCATAAATCTGCTTTAGAAAAAAAGCCTTCAAGAGGTCCCCACCTGTCAAATCTCACCTTTAAAAAGCTCACCTTTAAACGGTTCCCCGCACGTCAAATTTCACCTTTGAAGGGCTCCCCGTCTTTGAAGACGTACAGCCGCCAGCGGATGGAGGGCTTGCGCGCCTCTGGCGGCTCGTTGTACACGAGCGCGACACCTGGCAGCATGCGATTGGTCGGTGGGGTTGGAACAACCCGAGAAGGCGTATCACAGGTGAGCACTGAGCAGGGAGGGAGGAGTTTGGTGGACTGGAGGAAGCTACATAGAAAATTCGTTACAAGAACGTTGTTTGTTCTTAACAACACTGTTCTTCATCCTTGTTGAAACACCTCTTCCCTTCCCCTCCTATCTAAAAAAAAACATCTCCATCTGACCCACCATCAAGCATTACTGAGTGAGTGCAGTCCCCACGCTAGCTCTCTCCACCGTCACTCGCCTCCTCCATCCCCACCTCGCTAATCAGATCACATGCAGCAGCCCCACACAAGGTGACTTTTGAGTCGACTCAAAAGTCGCCTCCTCCATCCCCACCTCTCTATCTAATTAGATCACATGCAGCAGCCCCACACACCACTCACCACACCCACCTGCCCTGCCACCAGCAGCCCTACCACCCACCCACCAGCACTCCACCAGCACCCCACCAGCACCCCACCAGCACCCCGCCACCACCCCACCATCACCCACCATCGCCCACCATCACCGCACAGCACCGCACGGCACCCACCTCGGAAGCGGTTGGTTTCTTCAGCCAGTTTGCCCGACAGCTCAAATGACGGCTGCACTGCCTGCAGTGCGAAAAAGTGGAGGGAGGGGGCGGGGGGACGCAGCAGAAGAACGGAAGGAGTGGGGGAAGGGTGCGGGAGAGGGGGGGAAGGGTGCGGGAGAGGGGGGGAAGGAGACAGAAGTCGTCTTCGGCCAGTTTGCCCGAACGACGGGTGCACTGCCTGCCTTGCGAAGACGTGGAGGGAGGAGGCGGGGACGCAGCAGAAGGAAGGAAGGAAGGAAGGAGTGGATGGGGGGTGGGGCGGAGGGAGAGAGGGAGACAGAAGTCATCTTTGGCCCGTTTTCCCGACAGCTCAAACGAAGGCGGTGCTGCCTGCAGCGCGAAGGGGAGAGGGGGGAAGGGGGCGAGAAGGAGTGGAAGAGGGGTGGTTGGGCGTGGGTGGGGGTTAAACTCGTCAATAAAACCCATTGTCTCAAAATTCCTCACCTCGTCCTCCTCTCCCCTTCTCTCAACCCTCCCTGGCCCTCCCTCCACTTCCCTCCACTTCCCTCCACGTCCCTCTCCTCTTCCCCTTTCCCTTATTTTCTTCCTCCCTCCTCTCCCCTCCCCCTTCTCCCACCCGCCCCACACATTCTTCATCTCGCCTTTCCTCGCCTCAAGCGCACTACCATCTCTCGTTACTATCGCCCCACTTCCTCCCCCCCTCTCCCACCCCCGTACCGCCCCACTTACCTCACCTTACTTGCTTCTCGCCCCCACTACCCCCTTCTCCCTCCTGCTCTTCCCCCCTCCCCCACGCTCACCTTCTTGTTCCCCCTCCTCTCACCTCCCTCTCCCCTCCCCCCACTGACCTTTTCTCCTCCTCACCTTCGTCTTCTTCCCCTCCCTCCTGCTCCCTTTTTTCCTCTTCCCACCCTTCTTCTCCCCCTCACCTTCTTCTCCCCCTCACCCTCTTCTCCCCCTCACCTTCTTTTCCTCCTCCCTCGTCCTCCCCCTCACCTTCTCCCCCTCACCTTCTTCCCCTCACCTTTTTCCCCTCACCTTCTCCCCCTCACCTTTTTCTCCCCCCCTCACCTCCTCCCTCCCCCTCACCTTCTTCCCCTCACCTTTTTCTCCTCACCTTCTCCCCCTCACCATTTTCTCCCCCCCTCACCTCCTCCCTCCCCCTCACCTTCTTCTTCTCCCCCTCACCTTCTTCTTCTCCCCCTCCTTCGCCTCCAGCGCCTTCTGCGTTGCTTCCATGGCGTCAAGCATCTCAGGGTCCACGTCAGCAAGCACTCTCCCGCCCGACGCCGATCTGTCCACGTCAGCAATCACCCTACCCTCTGCCGCCGCCCCATTCCCGCTAGCATGGGGAGTGGCGCGCACAGGGGGGCCGCCAAGCGGGGGAGGGGGAGGCGCGGAGAAGGGGTAGTGCGTGGGGGGGGGAGGAGGCGGAAGGATGGGGGGGGCGGAAGCGGGTGGGGGAGGGGGGAAGGACGGCGGGAGGGCGGGGGGGTGGGGGAGGGGCGGGGGAGCGGCGGAAGAGGCGGTGGCGGAGGGGCCAAAACCAGCAGCTGCGCGCGCAGCTTCTGCTGCCAGCGATGCTGCATCAAGGGGTGGCTTGGCTGGTTGCGCTGGTTGGGCTGGCTTGGCGCGCAGTGGCTTAGTAGTAGCCCCCCTGGCGGCAGCAGCAGGAGAAGTAGCAGCAGCTGTGCCACGCGCTTTGGTCCTCGACTCGATCCCTCTTGGTCTCTCCTCCCTCGCCGCTTTCCCCACTCTTCGCTCATCCGCCTCCTCCTCCTCCGCCTGGTCACGGTGTCTGCTCCGTCTCCTCTCCTTCGCCTCATCCTCGCTACTGTCACTCCCGCTACGCCGTACACGCGCTCTCCGCCCGCCCCCCTTCTCCCCTCGTCCCTCACTCCCCTCCTCGCCCCCTCTCCGCCGCCCCTTCTTCCTCTCCCCCTCCGACTCCGAATCGCTCGCACTCGCGGACTCGCTCCCCCTCCGCCGCCTCCCACCAACACCGCTGCGACTGTCTCTCCCGCTTCTCCCGCCCTCGCAATCTCCCCGTCGCTTCCCCCGCTCCCGCTCCTCCTCTTCGTCATCGTCATCGTCATCGTCGCTCACAGATCGCTGCTTCTCGCTCCGTCGCCGATCCACATGCTTCGAAGCATGCCGGTCGGACTCTCCTCCCTTCGCCTTCTCCCTCCTCTTCTCCTCTTTCCCCCTTCCTTCTCTCCTCTCCTCCTCTTCCTCGTCCGACGAATATCTTCGTCGCACGCGTCGCCCACGGTCGCCCCGCCGGTCGTCCCGATCGTCGTCGTCAGAAACCGGCGAATTCCGTCGCCTGCTCCCGCTATCATCGCTGTCGCTATTGTCGCTACCGCTGTTGCTCTCGCCTCGGCGACGGTGGCGATAGTGTCGCCCGCGACCGCCTTCCGCCATCGTCACGCGACGATCAGATCCTACGGTCGCAACGGAAACAGCGCGAGGCGACGAGAAATGGGTCTGCAAAGAAGGCGGCGAGAAAAGGCGTAATTCAAATAGCCAGTCGTTGTCCGATCCTACCCTAAAGGAGTAGGAAGCTTCGACCAGCTCTGAACCAGGGCTTGACGACTTTTGAGGCGCCTCAAAAGTCGTCTCTGTAGCAGGGCTTGACGGGCAAACGAGGTGACTTTTGAGTCGACTCAAAAGTAACCAGCTCTGTACCAGGGCTTGACGGGCGAACTTTAGAAGATTTCACGACCGAATCGGGCTAATCTAATAGAAGTTGACGAGGCTTTGTTCGCGACTCCGTATTTAGTATGTCCGTCGTGCCTGCTGCTAACCTAGTGACCTTCTCCTGATGTCCAGTCAAGCAAGGTTTCACCCTCTGCCAAGTTTCATTCGTTCGAACACGCTATTCGTTTCCCCGTTTCTGCTGGTTGTAATATCTGAACATGCAAAGGTATATAAGGCGAAAAGTAATGGTAGACAAGTTTGGCAGTTTAACGCCTCCACAATATTGCCTATTTTGTCACCCATCGTAGAAGAAAAACATATTGCAAAGCGTCCGTTGCTAGACATTAAACAACAAATGGGACCGGCACGCATTTTCCTTACTGTATAACTACCACTTCATAAGGACCCTAAACAATTTCATTAAAAGAAGCAATGCGCAATCAAATCCTTTTCCCCTACAGTTCTCTGTTCACTGTGCTCTTTCTACACTAAACATCTCGATGTCAGGCAGCCTGAGCTCCGATTTTGGTGATGGAAGAGTCGTTGAGATTGGCATGCTGCAGGCCGTACCTCTTGAGCACCTGGTTGTCGGCAAAGGCGTATGACCTGAGGGGGTTGAGAGGGAGCAGATGGGCGAAGGGGACAAGAAGCAGCGGGGAGTAATGAGCACGGCTCGCATTGCACCCACGAGACCACCTTGCTGCAGGCCATGCCTCTTGGGCACCTGGTTGTCTGCAAAGGCGTACGACCTGAGGGGGTTGTGTGAGGGAGCAGATGGGCGAAACGAAGCAAGAGAGGAGAGTTGTTCCTTCGGAGTCGAGTCAAAAACTGGCATGCTGCAGGCCGTATTTCTTGAGCACCTGGTTGCCCGCAAAGGCGTACGACCTGAGGGGGTTGAGGGGGAGCAGATGGGTGAAGGGGAAAACCAGAGGAATATCAAACGATCTGAATGCCGATTGAATGCTCGTAGTGTAAGTGCTTTCCATACCGGTGAATGCCGCGGTCGCAGGTGTCGGGGTCGTAATCGGAGAATGCTTGCATGCTCATGAGTGCTAATCGTTGCTGAATGCTCTGAGTGCTGCTCTCACATACCGGTGAATGCCGCCGTCACAGGTGTCGGGGTCGTAGTCAGAGAATGCTTGCTCGTGAGCGCTAGTTATTGGTGAATGCTGTGAGTGTTAGATGCTGGTGAACACTGCTCATACCGGTGAATGCCGCGGTCACAGGTGTCGGGGTCATAGTCGGAGAACTTGAATGCTTGTGAGTGCTAATCATTGGTGAATGCTTGTGAGTGCTAATCATTGGTGAATGCTTGTGAGTGCTGGTCCCTGGTGGGTGGGGCTCATACCGGTGAATGCCGCGGTCACAGGTGTCAGGGTCATAGTCGGAGAACTTGCGGTCGCACAGCTTGCACCCCGTGAAGTGCACTGTGAAGGGCCACTCCCAGTTGCCCATCCCGTTGTGGTACTTGGCTGCTATCGCCTCCAGCCTGGTGGGGGAAGGCATGGGCGGGGGAAAGGGGGAAGGGGGGAATGGGGGGTTTGGGGAAAGGATGAGGAGAAAGCGTGAAGTGCACGGTGAAGGGCCACTTCCAGTTGCCCATCCCGTTGTGGTACTTGGCCGCTATCGCCTCCAGCCTGGTGTGAGAAGGGGTTGGAAGGCGAGGATGCGAGGATGAGGGATAGGATGAGGCAAAGGCGTGAAGTGCACTGCACTGTGAAGGGCCACTCCCAGTCGCCCACTCCGTTGTGGTACTTGGCCGCTATCGCCTCCAGCCTGGCGTGGGGAAGGCATGAGCGAGGCGAGGGGGCGAGGAGGGGAAGGGGTAATGATGAGGAGAAAGCGTGAAGTGCACTGTGAAGGGCTCCTCCCAGTTGCCCTCGCCATTGTGGTTCTTGGCCTGCTCTCTCCACTCACGCCACGCCCACCCACGCCACGCCCAGCCACGCCGCCCCTGCCTAGAAGCACTCACCTGTCCATGAAGATCCCCCAGAAGCCTTGCGGAGTGTACATGGGGTCGAGGTGCGTTCGTGGGGCCCAGCGGTCCCACGGAGCACAGGTGTATAGCATGCATTGCAGGCTCTGCTCTCCCCCGTACTGCAAATCACTTGTCCATAGCATCACTGCTCCTCCCTACCCTCTCCCAACTCACTTGTCAACGAATATCCCCCAGAAGCCGTGCAGAGTATAAGGGTCCAGGTGCGTGCGCGGGGGAGCCTAGCGGTCCAACGGAGCACAGGAGCATAGACTGCAATCTCTGCTCTCTCCCCTACTGCCACTCACTTGTCCACAAAAATCCCCCAGAATCCGTGGAGGGTGTAGGTAGGATCGAGGTGCGTGCGCGGGGCCCAGCGGTCCGCCAGCGGCTTGAGTCCCTTGGCCCTGTCCTCCTCCTTCTCGCCCTCGCCCGTCAGCATCAGCACCAGCGCCGTCTGATCGTCCGCCGGCCAGTTCTTGCGTTTCTGTGAGGGTAGGCGGGCAGGGGCCGAGGGAAGAGAGTGGATTAGGAAAGGAAGTGAGAGGAGGGAGGGAGTGAAGGCATGCAGGAGAGAGGGGCGGACCAGCGTCTCCTCACTGGTCCTCCTCCCTCTCGCCCTCGCCCGTCAGCATCAGCACGAGCGCCGTCTGATCGTCTGCCGGCCAGTTCTTGCGTTTCTGTGAGGGTAGGCGGGCAGGGGGCGAGGGAGAGGAGTGAAGCAGAGAAGAGCGCGAGAGGGGGAGGACGTGGGTTTAACGTAGGAGGCGCGGGGAAGAGGGAAGGCACATAGGAGGGCAACGAGGTGAGGGGGGGAAGAGGTTAGAACAGACTAGTGGCCAACAAGTGGGCTGTGAGAACTCAGATTGAAAGACTCAACTGCTTAGCATTCCCGATTTTCAATCCTTCTCGTTTAAAAATAGTCGCAATCCCCAGCTATCTTTCTCCAGCGATCATCCACCCTGCTGTTATCACCTGATCCAGCTGCTGTGATCACCTGATCTACCCTGCTGTTAGTACCTGAACCACTCTGCTGCTATCACCTGATCTACCCTGCTGTTAGTACCTGAACCACTCTGCTGTTATCACCTGATCTACCCTGCTGTTAGTACCTGAACCACTCTGCTGTTATCACCTGATCTACCCTGCTGTTAGTACCTGAACCACTCTGCTGTTATCACCTGATCTACCCTGCTGTTAGTACCTGAACCACTCTGCTGTTATCACCTGATCTACCCTGCTGTTAGTACCTGAACCACTCTGCTGTTATCACCTGATCTGCCCTGCTGTTAGTACCTGAACCACTCTGCTGTTGTCACCTGATCTACCCTGCTGTTAGTACCTGAACCACTCTGCTGTTATCACCTGATCTACCCTGCTGTTAGTACCTGAACCACTCTGCTGTTATCACCTGATCTACCCTGCTGTTAGTACCTGAACCACTCTGCTGTTATCACCTGATCTACCCTGCTGTTAGTACCTGAACCACTCTGCTGTTATCACCTGATCTACCCTGCTGTTAGTACCTGAACCACTCTGCTGTTATCACCTGATCTACCCTGCTGTTAGTACCTGAACCACTCTGCTGTTATCACCTGATCTACCCTGCTGTTAGCACCTGAACCACTCTGCTGTGATCACCTGAGCAGCACGCACGCACCTGGAGCACCCTGCTGGCGATCTCGCCCCACTTGACTGTGACCTTCTCCGACCGCCCGTACTGCCCCCAGTCGTCCAGCAGATCCAACCCCTCCTGAGGTGCGGGCGCGCACGCAGGGGGAGCAGGGGAGTGAGAAGGGGAGCAGGGATGTGAGAAGGCGGTACAAAGGGGTGAGGCACTTGACGGTGACCTTCTCTGACCGCCCGTACTGCCCCCAGTCGTCCAGCAGATCCAACCCCTCCTGGTGCGCACAAACACACACGGGAGGAGAGCAGGGATGTGAGAGAGGACGGCAGCACACAGCTCGCCCCACTTGACGGTGACCTTCTCCCACCGCCCGTACTGCCCCCACAGCAGATCTAACCCTTCCTGTTGTGCTGGCACACACACATGAAGGGGAGCAGGGATGTGAGAAGGCGGTACAAGGGAGAGAACGTGGTGCAGCAGAGGTGTGGAAGGGAGCAAGCAGCTCGCCCCACTTGACTGTGACCTTCTCCGACTGCCCGTACTGCCCCCAGTCGTCAGCAGGTCTAACCCTTCCTGGTGTGCGGACACGGGTGGGTGGGATGCAGGGGTGGGATGCAGGGGTGGGATGCATGGGTGGGATGCAGGGGTGGGATGCATGGGTGGGATGCATGGGTGGGATGCATGGGTGGGATGCATGGGTGGGATGCATGGGTGGGATGCAGGGGTGTGAGAAGGCGACACAAGGGGTGGGAGACATCTGACCATGTGGAAAGGACGATGATGTGGCGAGGTGGAGGGGACAGGACGATGGTGTGGCAGACTGGCAGTGAGAGAGGCGGGCATGTGTTTTCGAGGCGCCTTAACAATGACGTGGTGTGGTGGAGGGGACAGGACGATGGTGTGGCAGACTGGCAGTGAGAGAGGCGGGCATGTGTTTTCGAGGCGCCTTAACAATGGCGTGGTGCGGTGGAGGGGACAGAACAATGAAGTGGCTGACTGGCAGCGAGAGCGGCGGGAGTGCTTACCTGTGAGTTGCGGATAAGGAAGCTCCCCGTGTTGAGGGCGACCCTGGGAGTAAGGGTGAGGAGAGGGGGAGGGGGGAAGACAGCAGTGGGGGGAGACAGCGTGAGGAAGGAACATGGTGCAGAGACGGGAAGAAAGGGGAGGAGATGGGAGGGGAGAGGGGACGGAGGGGAGGGGGGGGGGGTGGGACAGGGGGCGATGGAAGGGAGGGGAGGGGGAGGGGAGGGGAGGAATGGGGAGGAAATTGAATGGGAGGGTAGGGAAAGAAAGGGAAGGGAAGGGAAGGGAAAGAGGCTGGAGGCAATGGGAGAGAGAAAGCGGGCAGAATTAGACAAAGAAGGCTGAGAAGCGCAATTGATGCTGGCTGAGGTGGAGAAGAAGGGGATGGGCGACGGTGGAGGGGTGAGAGATGGTGGAGGGAAGGAAGGCGATGGGAGAGAGGAAGTGGGGAAGCAAAGAAGGGTGAGAAAAGCGATCGATGCTGGCTGAGGTGGAGAAGAAAGGGATGGGGGACGGTGGAGGGAGGATGGGGCAAATGGCATGAGGGTGGGCGAGGCGAGGGGGGTTGAGGGGCGTGTGAGGCGAGTGCCGCTGGTTACAACCTCTCCTTCCCTTTTGAGGTGATTTTGAGTCGACTAAAAATGTGAGGCGAGTGTTGCTGGTTAGAACCTCTCCTTCTCTTCCTCCACCCTCCCCCCATCCCTCCATCCCTCCATCCCTCCATCCCTCCATCCCTCCATCCCTCCCTCCCCCTCTTTCTCCCTCCCTCCCCCTACTTCTCCCTCCTTCCTTCCCACCCCCCTCCCCCCTTCTTCCCTCTCCTCCGTGCCTCCCCCTCTATGCCACGTCAGCACTGACTCACCAGTCCTTCTTGCCGTACACGTCAGCGTCCAACCCCGACATGACAAGCACCTTGTTCGCCTGCTTCTCAATGGGGTACCGGAACGCCATGTCTGCACAGAGGGGTGGGAGTAGAGAAGAAGGGGTGGGGGAATGGGGAAAGCGGGGAGTTGGAGTGGAATGAGGATCATCATGTCTTGTCCGCCTTCAGCGCCCAGCCCATACATGACGAGCACCTTGCTCGCCTGCTTCTCAATGGGGTACCGGAACGCCATGTCTGCACGCCCGCGTTAGTCGCCGAGGCGGAAAGGGAGAAGGGGTGGAGGGAGGGGGAATGCGGGGAGCGGGGGTGGAATCATGTCTTGTCCCCCTGCTTCTATGGGGTACCGGAACGCCATGTCTGGTTTTTGAGAATTCTAGCTGGTTTTTGAGAATTCTAGCTGGTTTTTGAGAATTCTCAGAATTCCGCCTGCTTCTATGGGGTACCGGAACGCCATGTCTGCACGCCCGCGCCAGGAGTGGAAAGGGGAGGGGAAGAAGGGGTGGGGGTAGAAGGGGTGGGGGTAAGAGGGGGGAAACGGAGAGCGGGAATGAGGATCATGCCTTGTCCGCTGCGCCTAGAACACTCAAATAGTCCAAACTTGAACCTCTGCTGCCTTCCGATCCAAACCAAGCTTCCAATTTAATCCTACCCCCAACTTAAGCCTGCACCCAATCCCAACTTAAGCGTATCTCCCAGTCCTCGGCTACCTCCTACGCGCCTCACCAGTGGTCGACCTAGAGGCGCGGAGTCGCGCCTCACCAGTGGGCGTCGGAGTCGACCCAGAAGAACCACTCCACGTCGGGGTGTTGCAGCATGAGCTCACCGTTGCTCACCGTTGCTGACCGTTGCTGACCGTTGCGTGTAAGACTACATCATCGACCACCCCGTCCAAACCCACCACCTCGCCCAAGCCTACCTCCCACGCCCCTCTCACCAGTGATCATGGCATCGGAGTCGACCCAGAGGAACCACTCCACGTCGGGGTGTTGCAGCATGAGCTCACCAGTGACCACTGCACCTGAAACCACTCAACCCCTATCTCAACCTACCACCCTACCTCCCACGCCCCTCTCACCAGTGATCATGGCATCGGAGTCGACCCAGAAGAACCGCTCCACGTCGGGGTGTTGCAGCATGAGCTCACCAGTGACCACTGCACCTGAAACCACTCAACCCCTATCTCAACCTACCACCCTACCTCCCACGCCCCTCTCACCGGTGATCATGGCGTCGGACTCGACCCAGAGGAACCACTCCACGTGGGGGTGCTGCAGCATGAGCTGACCACTGCGCCTGAAACCACTCAAGTCCACCCCAAACCTACCACCCAAATTACTCGGCTACTTCCCAACCCTCGGCTACTCCCCCCGTTCCCTCACCAGTGATCATGGCATCCGAGTCGACCCACAGAAACAACTCCACATCGGGGTGCTGCAGCATGAGCATGCGCAGCATGGGCAGCTTCACCCAGAACGTCTTCAGCCGCGGATCAATCGCGCCCATGCCGTAATAGAACGGCATGTCGTTCACGCGCGCGTAGTCCTGCTTGTTCTTCAGGAACTTGAGGAGTAAGAAGTCGCCGCTGTTGGGGCCCTCGCCGCACCGCTTGCTGTTGGAGCCGGAGACCAGCATCACCTTGGGCTTGCCGTCGCGCGTCGCGTTGCACCCCGGGCGCGCCGCGATGTACGCGCGCCGCTGCTCGTCCCAGTCTGCGGCGGGGTGATTGTGGCGAGTGGGGGGAGGGGGAGGGACGGGGGGAGCGGTGAGCGAGTCTTGCGCGTGCACTGCAATCAGGGTTCCTTCGACTCGTCGCTGCGATATAAGCAGCTTCGCCACTCCTCCCAAAGTCCGATGTGCTTATGAACAGCGAGTCCTGAGCGTGCACCCTAACTGCGAAAGAAGAGAAGGGGAGGGGAGGGGAGGGGAGGGCTGGGGAGGGATGGGGAGGGGCGAGTGAGCTAAGGTGTGGAATTCGAACATCCTTAAGAGCACCTTAGAGAAGCGCACCCTTTACTTACAATGAACAGCCACCCACGACGGCTCGCAACCGCCGCGTCGTTCGACGCGAACAGCGCGCGGCGCGCTGGTGGAAGCCATGAATTGCGCAACTTAAGGCCTCAATTCCGTCCTTCCAGCGTCTCGAGTTGTCAGACGTCTTAGAAAACGTCAAAATCCCATTCTAAGAAAAATTCAAGATCCCATTCAAGAAAGCGTCTTAAATATAACCCCGAGTGGAGACAAGGATTCCCTGATTACGCCACGAGCATGCCTTGTCTCGCGACGAGCACCCCTTGTCTTAACCAGAACACACCATAGCGTTGAACAGAGCATACCGTCACTATCTACACCATCAACTGCGTTTCCTTCACAGCGACGAGCGATCGAGATGACCTCTGAGTCGACTCAAAAGTCATCCCTTGTCTTAACCAGAGCACACCGTTGGGTTGAATGAACAGAGCATACCGTTTTCTTCACCATCAGCTGCGTTTCCTTCACAGCGACGAGCGATCGACCGCACGCTCTCACAGCCCGTACTCGCTACTGACACACGCATGGTTGACGGTTAACGGATCCACCAATGGCGACTCATTAGAAGCGTCGCATGCTCTTTCCTAACGCCGCACTGCCTGTGCTCGCCGGCAAGCACACATCATACGCGCGGCGCATCCAGAGTACCTGTGAGTCGCCGTCGAAAGACTGGCCACTTGCTCTCGCGCATCTTATGCCCTTGAACGGTAGATGACATTCGCTTGAACCACAGGTGACGTACCCTTGACCCACAGGTGAACGCATCATACGCGCGGCACAAGTACCTGTGAGTCGCCGGCGAACGACTGGCCACTTGCTCTCGCACATCGTATCCCCTTGAACCGCGGATGGCATACGCTTGACCCACAGTTGACTTGCACTTGACCCGCGGATCCATGTAGTACGCCCCCTCCACAGGGCCAGATGCTGCCTGGCTCTCGAACATCTTTTGCCCTTGACCCACGAATGGCATACGCTTGACCCACAGGTGACGTAACCTTGACCCACAGGTGACGTAACCTTGACCCACAGGTGACTTAACCTTGACCCACAGGTGACGTATCCTTGACACGCGGCTCCATGTAGTACGGGTCCTCCTTAGCGTCGAACACTCTCTTTGAAAACCATTATACCTATGCTCGCCGTGAAGCACACAATATGCGCGGTTCGAGCTGTACGTACCCTTGACCCGAGGTTCCATGTAGTACGGCTCCTCCTCAGCGTCAGATGCAGCCTCGCTCCCTCCGTCGCTCTCCGGTTCTTCCGGCGCTATGAGCGCCGCATCCTCCGACTGGAGTTTGCGCAGCGCCGTGGCGCTGAGGTTTTCGTACGGGGTGCTCGTACGAGACGAAAAAATAGACGGAAACCGTCCGTTGTAAACGAGAAATATCAGCGTTAGCAACACTCCGACAATAACCGCCTGCTCCCCGCTCGAGCGACGCCTACCCCCCTTGCGATTTCCAGGCTGTGCCATGAGAGCGGGAGTCTAAGCAGCTCTAAATCCAGGTCTGCTTGCCAGTTTCAAAACAATCAAAAGTGGATGTTTTGAAGTAAAAGAGAAACGTGATTGCTATAAGGATCTGGGCGCACTCCAGAATGTTTTCCTTCGAGCCGACAGCCACACAACTAGACCCTCAGGAAACAGCACACTGAGAAACGAGATATATAATTGAGTTGGGTTCGGTATTCTCAAGGTGCTCCCTCGATCCCGATTCCCGAGGCACAAAGGAAGTGAATCTCAACGGACTCCCTCGAATTCTTCCACTCATCCAGCCAGGTTTCATCCCGATTCCCGTCCCGTGGCTCCTCTCTGCTCTGCACTGAAACGTTCCCGCGTCGCGGGAAGCAAATCTCTGACATACATTGAGCCAGACTCCTTTTGGGATTCAACGGACGGCCTCGATCAATGAAGAGAACAGAGCGTTGTCAGGCGGCTGGAAACTCGTCCGTCAAACTGCCCCACGAACCTGTCAAGCTTCGCTGCAATTCGTGGGGCAGGTTGGAACTGATGGTTGGACGAATCATCGTGGCGGCGGGAAATGCTTCCTGTCGGTCAAGCAAAACTTCCTGTCTCCATTTGGAAGTTTGTTCGTTTGTGCACAACAAATGAAAGGGTGTAATAAAACTTCCTTTTCCTTAATGGGTTTTACTTCTTCGCGTACAACCCCAATTCTCATATGTGCACGTTCGGCCGATTTCATCGAATCATAGGCCGCCTCGCATCGCCTTCACTTTTCCCTGCATATCCTGCAACAAACCTCGTGTTCCCAAGGATCCCGCATGTCTAAATTAGCCCGATATTATCTCGCGTCGTTCACAGGCCTTAATTTATCAGTGTATATTACCCTTGTACACTAATTATAAGGGTACATTTGAGTGGTCACACTGATGTCTCTGGGTATTTGTTTTTTAAGAGTATATCCCTGATCTGTCAGTGTAATGATTTTGTCTATGCGGATGGCTTAATGTAACATTTCCGTTAGCGAGTTTTACACTGAATAGCGTACAGGGCAACCCCCCCGCCCAACCCCCCCAACCCACACCCCCTCCCCTCCCTTTTCCCGCACCGGTCCTGACATGACACAGCTTGATTTTCAAAAAAATATCAAGTTGGAGCGTGTCCTAACTGAAGCTCGACATCCCTCGACAAACCTTCGAGGAATGTCGGTCAGTATCAACCCTCGGATTGACGGTTCCGACCGTCAGGATTGACCGGCATCCCTCCAAGTTTTGTCGAGGAATGTCGATGTTCACTTCAGTCTTACACCCCCTTGTGAAAACGCCTTGGCGGCAATCACGGTAGTGATTGGTTGGCTTGTTCTTCCATTTCCAGAATTGCCACGGCGCCATTAGCCACAGGGCTTTGTACTCTCTCCAGCCTGGAAACTTGGACGTATTCCGAGTGTCGGTGGTTTCTCGGAGACGCGTTTGAAGGTGAGTATTACAAAACATAAAACAACCACTAAAAATATAAACAGTATAAATAGAGAACCTACACTGATGCGATAGGGTGATTTTTTTTGAAATAGCGGTTACACTGATGGTTAAAAGAAATCCAGGACTAAGCCTGGAACTAAAACAAACAAGGCCGAGAACCAGGGTAAAAAAAAAAACCAAATTCCTGGTCGTTCATTCAACTTCGTCATTCAATATGGGCCCTGGTCAGCCCATATTGTCACAACTTCGTAATTCGTTTTTCCGCGCAACTCTGTTGAACAACTCATAACAAAGGTTGTTCAGAGGAGGAAGAAAAAAGTAGTTACTTACTACTATAAGCTGTTTGAAAATCCCTTACATCGCAACCTTCTTCAACGCTTATGTCATGGATTGTGCACTAGTCCCATACAGATCTTGGAGCGTTACAAGTGGCTGCTGTTTGTTACACTTCGTGTCATCTTTAGGTTTCGGGCCGAATTAGCCATACCCATCGAAAACATCTCGAGCCACATTGGCAGCATAGCATAGCCTAGCATGTTTTCGTGTACTAAAGCTTGTAGCGTATTTTGTCAAAACGTATTTATACTATTGCTGTAACACTTGGTAGGCTAGGTTAGGGTTTGGTATTTGTACCCATGCTTGCCATTCAATGCACATCATTCTCATTTTGACATGGTATCACAAGTAGGATCCCCACTTCCGCACCGCCCACCCAAGCCTACCCAAGCCCGCCTCCTAGCCCGCCCTTAGCCCACCCCTAGGCCGTCCCCTCGAGCGCCCGCCGGCCCGACGCTTAGCCCACCTTCTAGCGCCGGCCGCCAGCAAACTCGTTGCCCGCCGTAGTGCAGCCAGCCGCCAGCGTGCACGCCAGCGCGCAGTCGCCAGTGCGCAGCCAGTTGCCAGCCTGCATGCCAGCGCGCAGCCAGCCACCAGCGCACACGCCAACCCGACAGCGCGCACGCCTGACCGCCAGCGCGCACGCCAGCGTGCGTCCGCCAGCGCGCAGCAAGCCGCTAGCGCGCACACCAGCACGCCGCTCACCAGCACACCAGTGCGCCGCGGCCCGTCAGCGCGCCTGCCCGCCAGCTACAGAGCACGGCCCGCTCCTTGCCTGCTGCCCATCTAGCCCCGGGCTGTCGCGCTAACCCTAGCTCGCTGCGATATTGTCTACTGCCGCACTTACTACTACATCAATTGCCACCAGTCACCGCCGCGCTAGACAGGCGCCGACCGCCACTAGCCTCTAGCCCGCACTATAGTCTCGCCACCACCTTACTACCGGTCTTCGCTAGTCGCCCGCTACTAGCATGCCGCCAATCTTTGCCAACTGCTCCTCTCTAGCTCGCCTTAGCCATGGCGTCCGACACAGTTTCGCGTTTCGATGCCGAAGGGCGCACGATTGACTTCAGCACGTGGCTGCTGCACGAGCCGCTTAGCTCTGCCCCGGTACTGTTCGCTGATAACAGGGCCATGATCCTCCTGTGTCACGAGTCTCGACTAGATGGCAGAGCGAAGCACATCATGCTGCGGTGTTTCATGTTGCATGAGCTGCAACAGCACGACCAGACACACGTAGTAAATTTGGCCTCAGGGGCAAACACCGCTCATATCTTCACCAAGATGCTCTCGCCTCATAATCATCAGCAGCTCTGCATTCAGCTTGGACTTAATCCAGTAGTACCTCACTGGCTAGGATCTTGATCTCTGTACTCTGTACAGGGTTTGATTTTTTGCTTGGTTATACTCTCTTACTAACCTTGTGGCCCTTTGTCTCAAATGCTGGGCTAATATTACCGCCCTGAGTTGTACAGTATACACTTTGTTGTTTTTGCTGACTAGCCTTGTGGCCTTTTGCCCCAGAGGCTGTACTAGGCAATAATATAAAAATATGAATATGGCACACCCTTAACTGCCTACATCAAGAACCAGTCAAATTAACACCGCCTGAAGCGGAACACCGCCAAGAGGAGAGAGAACGGAAGAATGCGCAGCGGAAGATGCAGTGGCAGGCACGTGCAGTGGTAGTAGGTGCAGCGGTAGCAGATGCAGCGGCGGCAGATGCTTACCAGTGACAGATGCAGCGGCGGCACGTGCGGCGGCGGCAGGTGCTGCTACGGCATGCGTGGCGGCTGCAGCAGGCAGCGGCGCGGCAGGTGATCAGCGGCAGCAGATGCGGGCGCCTGCATCAAACAGCGGCTGGCAAGTGCTCAGTGGCGGCAGGTGCGGCAACAGTAGGTGCAACAGCGGCAGGTGCAGCGGCTGCAGTTGCTCCGCGGCGGCATGAGAGGAGGAGGATGGGCGACTAGGAAGGGAGAGAGGGAGAGCCGGAGGAGGTGAAGTTTCGTCAGTAGCGGTGTCAGTAGGTGCGTCACCAGTGGCGACAGCAGGTGCTGCGGCGTCAGCTGTTCAGCAGCGCGTCAGCAACGCATCACCAGCGCACCAGCAGCGGCGTCAGCCACTGCCGCCACCCCCTCCACCTCCCCCCACGGCAGCAGACGTAGCAGGGCGTGTGTGCCGTATCAGCCCGTCGTCTGCCACTGCCGCCACCCCCTCCACCTCCCCCCACGGCAGCAGTCATAACACGGCGGCGGCGGCGGCGGCTGGTGCTGCAGGGTCACGACCACCACCCCGCTGCACCCCCCCTCAGCTGCAGTCGCGGCAGGCGTGCGACGGCGGAGCGGGATGTCATGCTTTTAATTGCAAGATAGAATAGAGACAATATAAATGCATGACAAATGAATAATAGGAGGGTAGACAGTAGGGAGGATGGCGGGAAACCAAACTGATCGAGCGGGAAGAAGCGAAGGGCAAAGAGTAGCAAAAGCAACGGTGTTAGCAACGGTACCAGCACGAAATACTTAGGCAAGGAGCGGGGGTGGAACAGCTTGCTTGCTCGATTGTTCTCACATTAAGCATAATTTTGGCCTAGCGAACTTCTAGAGCTAAGCAACCAGTGATGCCAACCCCGCAAGTCACCAGTGAAAGCAGCTGAGCTAGAGAGCCATCCGAGCTTCAGTTCCCTAGAGCAGTAGATAGCTAAGGCACATCTGGGAACTTTTCAACAATCGAGTAAGAATTACGGCCAGAGATGAACGATAGGTATAGATTAAGATCCGGTCACAGATATTGGAGAGAAGATATTCAAGCGGCCCCGAGCTGGAGAGCGCAACCAAGCGTGGCAGCGACGAACGGGCGGCGGGAAGATAACGTGCGACTATCGACACCAGAGACAAGAGCGTATCGAACGCCACACCAGAGAGCACGTGGAACTGAAGGATCGATGGAGGGCGGAAGGCAGGCGGCTTCAGATCCCGGAGAAACTCCGCACGAGCTGCGATGGGCGCAGGAGACTCGAGCGCGGTGGGAACGACAGAACGTGAACAGCTCGCCCAGGCCGATGCCCGGAATGGGACCGACAGCGCAGCAGGAAGAGGAACAATGGCTGCACCGGCACGTGGGGGAAGACACGCCAACACCCATCCGGCGCGAAATGGTGGCAACTAAGTTGACAACTGCGCCCGAGGAACTGCCGACGCC